AAATGCATATTTAGCAGTGTACGATCGAGCTCTGTAACTTGTAACTTGCATATTTGATATAAATGCACCGTCGTTTACCCATTTTTATTGTGTCACCTTGCATCTCACCTTCTATAATTCGTTGTTGAGGTTTCAGAACGCAACAACTAGCTTGTTTCCGCTGACGTCATTGTCCACCCGTATAAGTTTTTCTCGTCACCTTTTATGCACGTGCATCGTGCAGCCTTAAAGCGCGTTGTAAATGAGAACAATTAAAATACGACCTAGTTCATGCACGACAAATGAATCAGTGCAATAAATTACCAACCGAGGTGTTTTAAACTGTAACAAAACAGCACCGCGTTTATTGAATTAAACGAAATTTAATTTTCGTTCCAATCAGGCCGCGATATTTAAAACCTTTTAATGTAAAACTAATAGAGAGTTCATAACCCTCGAATTGCGGCGGAATATGGAGAGGGGAATTTCTTTAATCCCCGCCGAATGTGCAAACTTTTGTGTTCGCCCCAAAGACGAAAGGTCGATCGAATAAACAATGAACGTCGTGAGAGTTAATTAGATGAGGGCGCGAGTTGTTTGATGCCTTTACTTCGTTTATTTCATTTATAATTTCTGTTTATAGGCACGGAGTCGTTCTACGTTTCTCCGAGTAAAAAACGTTTTGGTCTTTTGCTCGAATTTTCATACTTTGCCCTTCATTTTAATTGAAGTGTTTTAGAAGAGTGAGTTCGCAATAATATAATTTGAGCAATTTTTACAGTTGCGAAAAGATTATTTTTGCAAGTGGTGTGAGATCACTGTTACCTTATATTAACATATAGTGGAAAAACCCATCGATCTTGCAATTTTGAAGTTTCACATACTTGTCAGACCTTTTTGTCTACGTTTAAATCGGCATCCGGTTTCCAACCGAGCCACTGCACCACACAGGGTGGCTGAATAATAAGAGAACTTTAACTCAAAGCCTCACGTGTTCAATTAATCAAAACGAGCGGACAGTCCGAATAAAGATATAGCGTAAAGAAACGTACACGCTTTCCAACCGTCGCGAAACAGCTAGCTAGCACTAGCAACCTCGTCTTTACGTTGATTCCTTCTAGTTAAAGGGCACCACTTCCACTATAAAATAGTCTCCTTCTCTGTCAAAGACACCGTTAAGTATAGTAAGACTTGAAAGATTGCACCGCGCGTCCCCGCTTACCCAGAAACACCTTATCTCTTCTAACGGCGATAAGAATACGTATGCTAATTAAGTATCGCCCGATAACAAAACCTCTTATCGCAAGCGACCAGATGTACCTACATTAAAGCATCTTAACTAACTTGAATGAATTACAATAGCGATCGAATTAAAAACAATTCTAAAAAGAACAATAACACTTAGGCCTAAATTCAAAAATAAACCAACTGTGCGCTTGAACTTCTCAAAATTATTGCGTCTGCTTTCAATAGTTTCTTCTATTCCGTTCATTATTTCTTGGCGCTGATGTTTTAATTATCCGCGAAAGACTCAAACGCATAGAAAATGGCGTGCTTTGCATAGACACCGTACGTGCATTATATACGAGTATCATTCGAAAAATTCCTGGCTTTTAGTGACTTTCTACAAAGCTCTGGGAATGATAGGGAGCTCTGCACAAACTTTTACTGTTCTGGAAGCATTTATCTAAATCCCTGGAAAACGTTTAGATTGGCGTCGAGAGATTCCTTATTATTCCCATAGAACATTCGAAAACCTGCTAGGTTTCCCTAGGGCGACCTCGTTAAATGAAGGGTCTCGATGTATATGTGCTCCATGGGGTCACTGTATGGGATTGATGTATTGTTCCATCGTTCTTTAAACGTGTTGTATAATGAGGATTGGGATTAAAGAAAATCTTTTTAAACACATTTTTTTTATTTTTTCTGTTGCTGCTATCGATTTCGACCTAACAGGTCATCTTCAGGCCGAGCGTCATTTGATGAAGTGAAAGTGCATCTGACATTTTACCGATGTTATATATTAGTTGTGAGGAATGAAAAGTTAGTGTAGGTACCAAAAAGTGAGGTTGTGTATAAGTATCTTGAAGATACCTCACTGTATGGGGTTAGAATTGACTCTTGATTTAAGCAGGCGTTCGCTATACACCATAGTGGTCTGCGATGGGACATTCGTGTATTCGTGGAGTTTCTCACCTTTCCTTGGTAGTCACCACTTGCTGGGACTCCTTTCCACCTTGGTCGTGAATGAATCGGAATAAGATACCTTGCGACATAAAACATCCTTTTGGTGGTCCGTTGTATCTGATTAGGACCCTTTTCTATGATTTTTCGTACCTTTGGATCCGCTAATATCTACTGACGGATGTCTGCTTCTGGTCGTTTTGGGAGGTCCACGGTGACTATACGAGGCACTTTTGCAGTGTTTCTGGGGAGCACGGTGGAAAGAGAGTGTCGGCGACCACGTTTTGCCTTTCCAGATCACTGTCCCTTTGGGAGATTTTAGTGTTAAGAGCCACTTCAGGGGTTAGGAGCTGCCTTGCACGTTCCCGCGGAAGTCCAGACTACAGTTAAAGCTTCTCGTGCGGTCGTGGGGCAGTTCTTTTCAGCTGCGGTGATTGGGCGGCTTGCGTATTCGTCTCTCTTTTCTCGCTGAGCAAGTACCGCACCGATGGGTTCCGTTTTTACGCGGAACTGTAGCGTCTAGGGATCGGAGCAATGGTGAGGTGGCGCTAAAGGATTGTAAAAGCGGTGATCGGTTCGAGTCCCCGGCGTGTGTTGCTTCGCCGGGCTCAATCGAAACGCAGGTGAGGCGAGGGGTGCGTTACTTCTCGTTCGTATGGCGTCGGTCTTCCCCTGTCCATTTTCGCCTGTAGGATGGTGTCTAAGTCACCTCTTCAGGTAGGAGAGATGGCGGTACTTGCATCCGATCACCACCACTGCCTCCACAATGAAGAGGAGGGAGTGGGGATCCGTATGTCCGGTAGGGGGACTACGGGCGCTTCAGGCAGGTTTTCCGCGAAGGGATATTTTCCAAGGGGACGATTTCCGTCCGGCTCCTCGTAAACAGTCGGAGGTTTTGGTCCGCGATCCACTGAGGGTGCCCGGGTGGCCAGTCGGTGCGGGCGTGCGACGGGATGTTTCCACTTCCGTGGTTCGGGCGTGAAGGGAAAACGGCGAGCGTCTTGATTGAACGCCCAATATCGTTCGGTGAATTTTATGTTAATCTCCGCATCCTCGAAACAAATCTATCTCGAGGAGAGTACGATTTTCGGCACCGGATCGTGTGTTCTCTTAGGGTCACTGGTACGTTTACCACTAAAACATTTGCGAGCGCGGTTTTCCGCCAGACAGTATGAGATTCACTTCACGAAACAGTAGTCCGTCATTTTTGAACACTTGGTAGTGTGTGGCCGGTGGGCTCCCGTATAGAAGGAACGATCCCCGTTGAGAGGACGGGTACTCAGCCGCTGGGGCGTGGACGTGTCTGTTAAACAAGTCCACTCTCACGGCAGTTCGGGCACGTACTTCGTATAACAACGGATTTTCCACACCCAAAACACTTCAGGAGGGCGGTGGCGCGGGAAACGCTGGTCGCGGTGGCTGCAGTTGTTGGCGGTTTTGGAGCTTCGGCTTGGTGGGCATTTTTCTTACTCCGGCATTCCTCCTGAAAATGTCCGAGATTCTGGCAGTAAGTGCACCTTCCGTATCCTTTGATGAATGTGTTTCCTTGCGATGAAGAGCTTGGTGGAGTCACTCTCGCTTTGCTTTGAAGCGATGACCTCTACAAGGAGCAGCCTCTTCTTCGAGTTGCATCGAGAGGGCCCCGGGTTTTCTTTCACCGAATCGGAATGGAAATTTGGCGAATCCGATCCTGTCGTCCCCGTTAGTGAAGCACACATTGCCTGGGTGAGTTCCTGTAGCATACTTTATTTGGGACGAACATATATACACAATTTAGGTCTTTTTACAGTCAACTACTAAACTATTATGCACACCAGCACTAACCAATTTAACGAAGAAGTTTAAAATCACAGGGACGGGTGAGCACTGCTCGCAGACACAAACGATCGATACCGAAAGACACAACGCAGTTAATGATTCTCGGGCAGTCTATTAATGGCGGCACTAACGTCTTTATATTAATTTTTTATGCAGTGTACGATCACTATCACTTCACGGTAACATGTAGGGGGTCCGCTCACCTAAATTGCAATTTAGTTTATTACGTTTAGTTACGTATTCAGTATTCAAAATGTCAAATTATTGCAAAACATTGCTATTATTTCAACGTGGAACGTTTAAGAATGACGTATGAGGTGCAGTATTTCTAATATAGGGTTTGGTTACTTTAAATGCTATCTACACCGCATTTACGATAAAAACGGGAACTGTACTAAAACCGTTCATCAGAAAATACTTCATTATGTCGAACCTTGTGGGATTCAACTTACCGAACTACTTTGTGTTTGCACGACCCGTTTGGGGGTGTTAGCCTAATTGAAACTATTACTCCACCTATCTCAAGGGAACGAAACTTATAACTTCTCCACCTCAAGATCGTAACTTTAAAGTGTTCAATCAACGGTCGGAGGCCACAAGCAATTATTGAAATTTGCCCCATATTTTTGCCACGTCATTAAAGCTCCAGGTCGTGCTTCCAAATCTGTTGTCGCCCCTTGTCAATTAGTCGTTTATTAACTTAGGCAGTACCGTGATCAATTTCGACTGTGCGAATAGAATTGATAAACACACATTCCCGTCTGGTTATTTCAATGTAACGAATCCACTTATGTAACTGTTTGTGATGAGGCTTTCGAAACTACGAACGAGAAAGTTAGTTAGATCTTAAGGCCTAATTGAACGAACATATCGTCTATATCTACTCCCTTTAACTTAGTTGCCACGTGTACCGATCTTTCAGCGTGTCTTACGTTAGTTTGACGGTATTAATTTTGTAAATCAGTGGAAGCTTGCTCCGAAAGTTTTACACGAAGCACTAATCCTGCGTTCTTTTTCAGGTTATCAACAGTGTGCTGCGCTAGGTAAGTCAGATTAAACGGAAATTTGGAAAACATCGGCTCGCTAAACGGGAAAGAATCCCTTGTTAATCGATATTATGCGAAAATGGCCCGACAAGGGTGCGAGGCAATCAATCAGGAGTATACTCATTGTAATTCTGCACGCTGTACGCACTTCCATTTTACAATTTAGCATATATGAATTAACGAGTTGACTTGATTGCGGAATAACATGCAAATTAATACTAATCAATCCATCACCGATGTTAGCGAATTTATAGTGCGCGAGAGTAAAATTAATATTTCCGTTTTGCTCGGTTCCGTGTGTTTAATTAGGCGGCGGCGCGCATTAAAAATTCTATTTAATCTCGCAAATTAAATGACTATATCGCAAGAACGATAAAGTGCTGTGAAAGTAGTGGCAGTTTTATGCAGCTGCAGTCGCCATCAATATTAAGATAAAGGACTGGCGCAGCGGTTTTAATTTTCATAGTAGTCGTCCTACCCTACGTGTGCCCTTTGGCCTAGGGTTACAAGGAATTACAATTAAACGCAAAGCTATTCGGGATCAAGAAGGTCATCGAATGGAGATCTGTGTTCCTCTGTCCCATGCTCATGAATCAGAAAACATACCATGGAATCATGGATGTAGTAAAAGGGAACGACTATTTTGACGGTACAAACCAATACGGCATGGTGATGTCGGTATGACCCAAAAAATCAATTTGACTCCGGAACGATTTACGATCACCAAAATTAGGCCATGCACTAACATCCGTGTAATTAACACGTCTTACAAATCCCGTTACCGTCTCTAATTGGTAATTTCGAACCGAATTGCGTCCTGAAAACGGTACTAATCGCCGTACTGCGACGCATACGTCCTCAATTTCACGCAGCGTTGCCCAAGCCGAGTGCCACATCCGATAAGTTTCGCAAACACGTAAGTATGTAAACAGTAATGTAAACTAAGCGAATCACAATGCCGGGGAAGCCAAACACGGTGTAGGTAAAGCAGCTTTGAGAAGTGCGTGCTTACACCCAAAATTATAGCTTCACTTTCGGCTGTTCGCCGCTATGATTAATTAGATTACAAAGCAAATATTACGGCTTCGTGCAAAACAAGCACATTACAACAACGCTAAGGTATTAAACTTTAATACCATGTCGGGAGTAAAGGTAAGGCAAACGTTGTACTTCCCGTTTGACGTAATTGGGTTGTACGCGTTCATTTTAAATCACGCTAATTGCTACCGAAGACACTGTAATGCCCGCAGTCAAATGACGCGAAACCAACCCATTCATTAGGCGATCGTCTCTTCGGCTTATGACAGGCTAATAGAAGAAACAATCTCATCTCGATTTTTACATATAAATCGACTCATTATGGTAAGTAATGGGTTTCTCGTACCCGTTCGGCTTTGTGGATTACTGTACCACTTTCCTCTCGCGCGCGCAAAAAAAAAGCGCACAGAGAGATATCATGCCACGCTTTGATACAAATTACATTTTAAATTACATACTTTATAGCTACTTTGATTGCATACGATAAAATTTGATTTCGTCGATGAATTTGAATTTTATTGTTCGGAAACCATCATTTTAATGAAATTTGGCGTTCCGTACGACCGCGGAGGAAAGAAGGGGGGGCGAGCACGTTTCTATGGCGCACGCACTTCGCGGAAATGTACAATTTCGCAATTAAAACAAGAGAGTTGGGAATTAAAAAACGGTAAAAATTGGCGCCATTGATTAAACAATTGCGCGCAATTGAAATTTTATTACAGTCGTTTTGCCTTTCATTAAATTTGGCTTGTGATTTTACTGCGAGAAATTTAATGTAGGTACATAGAGGTGCACTTATAAAGGGATCGTACGGTTTTGATCAATAGTCTCGTATAGGTTTGTACCATCAGAATAAATTGTGTTCAATAGTAGCGTATAGGTTTGAGCCATCAAAATAAATTGTATCTGCCGTTGCACCTTTAAGGCACTTGGGTACGACAAGGAAACGCAGTGCCATCATGTGGTAATTGTTTCCACGCCTTTCCGATGTTATAAACTGGAAACGGAATCCACAATCCCGAAAATGAACATTAGTAGCTGAAAACGCGAAACTCAAAATCAAAAATAGGGTACTAGAAACCAAGGCGTTGAAAATAGGTTCCTTGACGTGATAGCAGGATCATTGTAAATGGTTTATATTTGCTTGCTTACATAGGGGTGTAGGGAGCGAGGAGAAACCAGGACAGAACACTGGAAGCGCAACTATAAGCAATTAACAAGAAATAAGAAACTGGACATTGCAACCGGGAAAACGGAAAGTTTGACCCGCACGCAGAAACAAAGAACTGGAGACCGAGACCTGGAAACAAAAAATAAACGAGAAACATAAAACGGGAAACTGGGAATATGAATCTGGAAACAGAACACCGGAAACTGGAAACCGAAAACACGAAGCCGGATGCTAGAAATCGAACTGCAAGCCGGAAACGGAACACTGGAGGTGGTAAAATGGAATGGATAACATGGAAACAGGAACTTGGGAACGGGAAATTGGAAACATGAAACTGGAAACAGGAAATTGGAAGCTGGAAGCAGAATATAGGAAACTGAAAGCAGGAAACATGACACAGGGAGCCGGAAACAGGAAACGCGAAGCCGGAATTATATCACCGGAATCATGAAACCGAAAACAAAGCGGGAAAATTGAAACTTGGAATTGGAAACAGGAGACTGGACGTTAGTAACATGAAACTGGAAACAAGAAAGCCTGAACCGGGAACGGGAAACTTTTAACAGGAGATTTGAAACCGGGATCTTATAGCAGGATTCTCGAAACCGGAAACTTGAAGCAGGAAGCTCGAAGCGAGGAAAAGGACACCGGATTTTGGAGACAGGGAACTGTAAGCGGCAAACGGGAAGCTGGAAACAGGACAGTGGAAACTGGAAACTAGAAACAGGGAACTGGAAACAGGAAACACGAGGCTGGAAGCAGGAATCAGAACACTGGAAGACGGAGACCGGAATTGGAAACAGTAACTTGGGCACAGGAAAGAAGCTGTAATCAGGAAACTGGTAACATGAAACGGGGGACTTGAACAAACACTGAAAACTGGAAACTGGAAACTTAAAGTGGGAAACGGAAAACCGGCAACTTGAAGCAGAAAACTGGCGACAAGAAACTGGAAACGGGAAAATGAAAACCAGAAACAGGAAACCTGAAACAGGAAACTGCAGAGAGGAAAATTCGAAACATGAAATTGAAACAGGAAAATGAAAACTGGAAACAGTATTCTGGAAATCGAAGACTGGAAGTAGAAAATTTGAAACAGGAGACTGGAAACAGGAAATTAAAACTTGGAAACTGGCAAACCGAAACCGGAAATCTGGAAAGGAATCTGGAAACTGGCAAAGGCAGACTGGAAGTGGAGAAACCCGCGAAACAGAAAACCATATTTCTGTAGCTGGTAGTAGAAGAGAACACAGAACCAGAAGCAAGCGGTTAGAAATAAGAGGCAGAGAATTGAGAACAGGGAGCAGCAAGCAGAAGACTGTAAACGAGAAGCTGCAAAACAAAAATGAGAACAAGATGACTGCGGCACCGGAGATTGATCCAAAACTTCAAACTGGAAACCGAAAACAAGAGCCGAAAGTCACGAAACCGCATATCGGAAACCCGAAGCAGTACTAAGGGACCTAGAAACACTGAACTGGATACGGGAAGCTGAAAACTAGAAATTCGGAACAGGAAACAGAATATTAAGAAAGGGATAGTGTGAATAGGGAACTGGAAGTAGGAAAAAGTAAACGGAATGCTGGAAAAAGAATACCGGAAACTGGAAACCGGACACATGAAACTGGGAACCGGATACTAGACATCGAACTGCAAGCCGGAAACGGAATACTGGAAGTGGTAAATGGAATTAATAACATGGAACAGGAAATTGGAAACATGAAACTGAAAACAGAAACAGGAAACTGGAAACAGGAAACTGGAAACAGGAAACTGGAAACGGGAAACTGGAAACAGGAAACTCGAAACAGGAAACTCGAAACAGGAAACTAGAAACTGGAAATAGGAAAATGGAAACAAGTAAATGGAAACAGGACACTGGATGCCGGAAAGCTAGGGGGAAAGTACCATTTTTGGTGTACACCAAAAATTCAAATTCAAATTAATTCACGTTAATTCAAATTAATTCACGGTAATTCAAATTAATTCACGTTAATTCAAATTAATTCACGTTAATCCAAATTAATTCACTTTAATTCAAATTATTTCACGTTAATTCAAATTAATTCACGTTAATTCAAATTAATTCACGTTAATCCAAATTAATTCACGTTAATTAAAATTAAATCACTATATTCAAATTAATTCACCTTAATTCAAATTAATTCACGTCAATTCAAATGAATTCACGTTAATTAAAATTAAATCACTATATTCAAATTAATTCACCTTAATTCAAATTAATTCACGTCAATTCAAATGAATTCACGTTAATTAAAATTAAATCACTATATTCAAATTAATTCACCTTAATTCAAATTAATTCACGTCAATTCAAATGAATTCCCATTAATTCACGTTACTTCAAATTAATTCACGTTGATTCAAATGAATTCCCATTAATTCACGTTACTTCAAATTAATTCGCGTTAATTCAAACTAATTCACGTTAATTCAAATTCAAATTAATTAACTTTCAAACAGGAAACGGGGGACCGGAAGCGCGAAGCCGGAAACTTGAAATGGAAAGCTCGAAGCCGAAAACAAAGCAGAAAACTGGAAACCGGAAATTGGAGACCAGAAACAGGAAACCTGAAACAGGAACTTCTAGCAGGACAATGGAAACGGCGAAATGAAAACAGAAGACTGGAAACAGGAAACTTGAAACAAGAAACTGAGTATTGGAAAAAACAAAGGATACTGGAAATAGAAAACAGGAAATATAAAACAGGGAACTGGAAATGGAAAAGTTGAAACAGGATGCTGGAAACGAAACAGGAAACTGGAA